TTTTGGGGACAGGGACACACACGCACGCACGCACGCACGCACGCACGCGTGCAGCTGAGGACTCATGTCTGAGCTGGGCACTGCTCTTATGCTTTCACTAGTGTGGAGAGCTGAGACTGTACAGTGACGCTGTTAGAAAAGGAAATCAGAAAATATTCTACTGTTGCAGTCTTGTTTTGTTTTTGAGGCAGGGTCACATAGGCCCGTAGCTGCCTCAGACTTGATACACAGTGCAGGGTGACCCTGAAATTCTAATCCTCCTGCCCCTGCTTCCCAAGTGCATGCCAACATGCCTGGTGCTTTAAATAGAGTGAGCTGGGTGTGGGGGCACATGCCAGTGATCCCACGCAGGGAGCAGAAGTGGTAGGATCCAGGGTTCTAGGCCAACCGGGCTACATACATATGGAGAACTGTCTGAAAAAGAGATTGGGATAAAGATTAGTAGTAATAAAGACAGAATGTCAAAGATGTATTAATGAGCTTTAATCCTAGCACTCAGGAAGCAGAGGCAGGCAGATAGATCTCTGTGAGTTCAAGGCCAGCCTGGTCTACATCGGGAGTTCCAGGACAACTGGGGCTACAGGGAGACCCTGTCTCAAAAAGTCCTAAAAAAAGAGAGAGAAACATTTACACCTAACACAAAGTAACAGTCCCTAAAATGGCCGATGCGTGTTATGTCCTGCAGGTTGAGGTGCGAAGGTGGGTCTTGCTGATTTGACTTTGGTGTGGGCAGCTTTGCACCTTGTACTCATGTGGTCAGGTATCAAGTAGGACGTGGAGTCTGGGCTGTTGGGGTTGAGGTTGCTCTGCAGAGCTTCTGTTTTTCGGTTTGAGACAGGGTCCTGCCTTGTAGCCCAGGCTGGCCTTGAGCTTGCAATCCTGTCTTAGCTGTCCAAGTGCTGGATTCACAGGCATGAGCCACCATGCCTGGCTCTGTCTTTGCCCTCGCATGGAAAATGGGCCTTCATTTTAATATCTTTTAAAATACAGTTTTATTCTTGGAAACTCCGATGCGTGCGGACATTGCATTGTGGTGATGTTTACCCCGCTGCCGCTCCACCTTCATGTTTCACTTGGAAAGTTGTTACAGAAACACTGCGGATAGGAAGGGTGGGATGCGGAAGTGCATTCTTAGGGTTTTATTTTTCTCAACTATGTGCTTGTGTCTGTGGGTATGTGCACACTGTGTGTGGAAGCCCAAAGGACATCCGATCCCCTGGAGCTGGCCTTACAGGGCACCTGACATGGTGCTGGGAATGGACCACGGGTCCTCTGGAAGATAAGTTCCTGTTCTTAACCACTGAGGCATCTCTCCAGCCAGAGAAGTGTGTTTCTTAATCATAGTAAGCACAATTTTACCTTTTTTTTTTTTTTTGATTTGTGTGTGTGAGTGTATGCACACTTGTGTGCAGGATGGGATGTGTCCTGTATACACTTAGACGGAGTAGGGCACCAGATGTCCTCTGTCACATTCCACCTGTTCCTTTGAGACACTGTATCTCCCTAAACTCAGGGCTCACATGTTCTCAGGCTGGAAGCCAGCAGTCCTCCTGTCTTGTCGCTTGGACCTGGGGATACAGGAATATAGGAGGCCTGGTGGTCCTCATGATTGCCTAGTAAGCACCCGTAACCACTGAGCCATCTCTAGCTCCATAGTCGAATGTTTCAGTAGGAATAGAAATAGCGAGTGGCGGCTCACTTCTTCACCCTGTGGTGGTGCCATGTGCTGAATTCACACTGCCTCTTCACGTCTGTCCTCCCCCCCCTTTACATTTATTTACGTCTGCACCATGGCAGGTGTGTGGAGGGCAGAGACCATGGTGGGAGTCAGTTCTCTCCTGTCTACCATGTGGGTTCCAGGAGTCAAGCTCCTCACCTGCCCTAAAATATAACTAAAAAACTTTTGGGGGCTGGAGAGAATGTTAGACACTGAAATTATGATTTAGGTAGATCAGATGAAAGAGAAACAGACTAGAAAAATGAAAGCCCAGCACAGCGCCTGCAGCACTGGCTGCTCTTAGAGGACCCGGGTCTGAATCCCAGCACCCACATGGCTGGTAACAACCATGCATGACTCTAGTTCCCGGGAATCCGACACCCTACCTCTGTCCTCTGTGGGCATTGCGTGATATGTGTGTACTTACATACATGCAGGCAATACAGTCATACACATAAAAATATCCTTCTTCCCCCAATTCTTACCAGCATTTTTGTCATTTGTTTTCTTTTTTTTTTGGTCTTTTTGAGACAGGGTCTCCCTGTAGCTCCAGCTGCCCTGGAACTCACTATGTTGACCAGGCTGGCCCTGAACTCACAGAGATCTGCCTGCCTCTTCCTCCCAAGTGCTGGGATTAAAGGTGTGCACTACCACATCCGGCAAAAATAAATAAATTTTAAAAAGAACAAAACGCATTCTCAGGCTGGAGAGATGCTCAGCAGGTTAGTGCACTGGCTGCTCTTAGAGGACCCAGGTTCTGTTCCCAGCACACACGTGGCAGCTCATAACTACCTATAACTCCGGTTGCAGAAGCTTCTGCGGGCATTGTATGATGCGGGTGCACTTACATGCAGGCAGACACTCAGATGCATAAAGTAAAAACAGAAATCCTTAGTTTGGGGGCATGATGATGCATATCTTTAATCCCAGCATTTGGAAGGCAGAGGCAGGCAGGCCTGGTCTACATAGTTCCAGGACAGCCAGGGCTACACAGTGAGACCCTGGAAAACAAAACAGAAATCTTAAGAACATTCTTAGGTGTTACTATGTTAGTCATATGTTTCATGTTCCGGCCAGAGAAGAAGGTGAAGAGTTTATAGAGTGATATCAGCAGTGGGCTTCTGACAAGGCTCAGTACACAGTTTCGGTAGAATGGGGTCTTTTGGGCTGAAACTGCCAGAGAAGTTCTTGCTTGGTCTTGCTTGTTTTCTCCTTTCTCCTCCTTGGTTTTTGGACAGGCTCTCATGTAACCCAGTCTAGAGATGTCAAGCACTCTGTCACCTGAATTTCCCTCCCTTCTGTCTTCTGAGATGCTCTTGCTATTCGTTGTATACCCTACCCCCAGGCTGGCCTTGAAGTTGATCCTCCTTCCTCAGCCTCCCAGTGCTCAGGTAACGCCTGGGCCACTGTGGGCCTGCACCGTGTATACGGTGCTCAGGGAGGTGAGGTGAGGGTGTGGATCCCCTGGAACTGGAGTTACAGGTGGTTGTTAGCAGTGGTGTGAGTACTGGGTACTGAACTGGAGTCCTGCGAGAACAGTTAATGCTCTTTAACCCCTCAGCCATCTCTCTAGCCCAGATAGACCTTTTAAAACCTGAGAGTGATTAAGTTATTCAGAAAACTTGGATCCTACATTACTGTAGAACTTTTTTTTTGGCACGGTCTTGTTCTGTAGACCAGGCTGGCCCCAAACCTACAGAGATCTGCCTGCCTCTGTCTCCTAAGTGCTGGGATTAAAGGAGTTCACCACACCTGGAAAACTGTCTTCCCATTCTGTAGTTAGTCCTTGGTGCTGTATGGTGGCTTAAAAATTAGCCTTGGTTTCGGGGCAGGAGAGATGGCTCAGTGTGTTAAGAGCACTGGCTGCTCATGCGGAGGACCTGGGTTTGATTCCCAGCACCCACATGGAGGCTAACAACTGTCCATAACTCTAGTTCCAGGGCTTCTGATGCCTTCTTCTGACCTTCGGGCATTACGTGACACGGGTGCACTGATACATGCAGGCAATATACTCATACACATTAAAAATCAAGGGCTGGAGAGATGGCTCAGTGGTTAAGAACACTGGCTGTTCTTGCAGAAGACCCAGGTTAAAGTCCCAGCACCCATATGACAGCTAACAACTGTCCGTAACCCCAGTTCCAGGGGGTCCGACAGCCTCTTCTGTCCTCTGTGGGCATTGCATGACATGGGTGCACTTACCTACATGCAGGCAATACATGCATACACATAAAGTAAAAATAAAGATTTTAAAAATACATAAATAAATTATTCTGGGTTTTTAGGAAGGTGTGCATGACCAAGGCCCTGGGTACATGACCAGCACCGAAAAACAAAGGAAAAACCTTTAATTGCTTTAATAGATTCTTAAGTCATCAGGACTTTTTAAATGTGGAAAAGTTTTTAGAGATTTTTTTTTTAAGGCAGAGTTTGTTTATAATATAGAATTTGAGTTAACATGTTTTTAATTACATATTTGTATATCACCTAGATACATATCCTATCCTCCCCCCTCTTTTTTGAGAGACAGGGTCTCATTCTGTAGCTTCTGGCTGGTCTCAAATTCGGCTGTCCTCCTGCCTCAGCTCCCCAAGTGCTGTGATGCTGACGGGAACCCTGGTGCCCTGCTGTAGCTTTAAGAATCTCCAGTGTCCAGTCATTTTAAATTCTGAAGGATGTGGAGTTGGAGAATCTGAGCTTAGTTATTTCAGACTAGGGGTAGCGGGGCTTTGTGCACCTCCCTGGGACCCAGGATCTAAGTTTCTCTTTCTACTGGTTCTTCAGTGGCCAAGCCTGAGGGCAGACTGGTCTCCTGGTGTGAGGGAGCTGTTTCTTAGTCATCTAGGGCAGGGCTTCTCTGATGGGCCACACAGCTGTCTGCAGAGTTCATGCAGAGAACCATGTAGTCAAATAAAAACCCAAAACTCTGTTAAGTTTGCAGCTCAAGAGCAATGCAAGAAGTGGGGTGTGTCTGGACCCCCAGCCCTGGGAGGCTGAAGCTGGGGGATTGTGGCTTCCAGACCAGCCTGGGCTACAGAGTGATACTGCAGGACCCCCCTGCATGGTATAGCACCCACTAAAAAGAAAAGACTCATTCGCTTCAAAAGCCCCGAAGTTGCTTGGGCGTGGTAGTACACGCCTATAATCCCAGCATTTGGGAGGCAGAGGCAGGCAGATCTCTGAGTTCAAGGCCAGCCTGGTCTACATAGTGAGTTCCAGGCCAGCTGGGGCTACAGAGAGCTCGTTTCAAAAAAAAAAAACAAAACCCAGAACAAAAGTCCCACGTCCCATTTGACTACTATTCTCTTCTAACAGACTGAGGTGGCTGTGCTTGTGGGACAGATGAAAGAGCCACGACCTGAAAGGGGTGGTCTACTTAGTCCCTTCCCTCTATAGGAACTGGCTGGACAGAAAAGGTTGCTTAGGACTTGATATTTAGTGCTATGGTTTGAGTACTTGTGAGGATTGGACTTGAGGATTTTTCTTGCCCATATTTTAAACTGAGGTTGTGCACTATTAAACCTGAGTAACACAGGTGCCTTGGGGGAGATTGCCTGATCAGTGCTGCCTAGGCACCATATTTTGCAGAATTAATTGGAATAGATGGTGATTTCTTCTCTGGTACAGTAGTAGGTGCTGTACTTGGCTGTTAAATTCAGTGAAAATCTGAAAATCTCCTTTTTATGCTAACTGGATTTGTGTACATTTTAGTTTACTTGTATGTTTAAGTTTAGGATAATTCTTCTGTCTTCAAATAGGAAGGTGGACTGTCTGGCTTCCTATGTCTACTCATTGCAGATAGGGCACTGGACAAAGAAAGGACTCCATCTTGGTGAGCTTATTGGGGTTACTTACAGAAATAAGGGTGACATAAAGGTAGCTACAGCACCCAAAAGCCCACCCCAGCCTGAGGGCTTCTAGTTGACGGGAGCTCAGCTGGGCAGGGCTGGGCTGGGCGTGGTGGGGCATATGGCCGGGGAGGCCTTGTGAATCTTGTCCAGCTCAGCATCTTGCTGAAACCTGTAGGTTGCTTTACTTACTGAGTCTTGAAAATTTTTACTTCTTGAGTCTTTTCTTAAAAAATATCTATTATTTTTTATTTTACATACATGAGTGCCTGCCTGTATGGATGTGCACTTGTGTAGTGTAATGCGAGAGTAAGTCAGGCATCAAATTCCCCTGGAACTGGTGTTACAGACAGTTGTTAGCTGCCATGTAGGTGCTGGGAACCAAACCCTGGTCCTCTGGAAGCTCTCTGGGATGAAGGCCATGGATACTATGTAATGCTATCTCGTGTCAGATTGACAGGTGTCTTTGTAAGTGGTAGTATTAATTAGTAATTTTGAGCTATTAGGGATTAGTAAAATTTTTTCTTGTGAACTTTATATTATTTGATTTTGATAGCCCTTTATTTTCTATGATAAACTAATGCGCATGTTTAGAATTTTTGATTTGTAATTTTTTAATGTACATAAAATGTGTCTGATTCAAACTGACTAGGTAGAAAAATGAGATAAATTGTACCTGGGTGTCAAAACTATTATCTAAGATTACTGCCCTTGAGTCTAATACAGATGAGTAAGAACATCCTTAGACTTTTAGCAGTGGGATGCTCTTAAGTGACTTTAGTATTTGGTGCATGTTACGTGTTGGGATTTTTAGGTCTAGTGTAAGAACACTGCATACTTGGGGTGATTGACTTCCTCGCATTGGTTTTCGTTTCTTTTCATACGTTCCTCTGATTGCATTAGATCTGAACATGAACTCGGCCTCCCTGTGCTCTCATTTCCTCCCACAGCTGCTGAAGTGCTGGGTTGCACTGGCTCAGCAGCGTTCGGGCTTCAGGCTCTTGTGACTGGTGCATCTTCAGGCTGACCTTGCGTTGTGGTGTTGCTTTCCAGGTTGAACTGACCAAAGCAATGGTTATGGAGAAGCCTAGTCCCCTGCTGGTCGGGCGGGAATTTGTGCGACAGTACTACACACTGCTGAACCAGGCCCCGGACATGCTGCACAGGTATGGTCACGTGCCTCAGGGTCTCTGTGGGACAGTTCTCTGCATATTAGCACCCAGAAGTAGAATTTTAAAAAGAGCTTAAACAAAGACTTAACATTAATTTGTTCATTCTTAGAAAATGCTTGAGCACATAAAACTAGCCCTGTGTTACTTGGAGCATGTTGAAGACACAAGGCGTTTGCACTGATCTGCTTGAAGAAGTTTGGAGTATCTTTTTAGTAGGAGTGAAGCATCCTTGTTTTAAATTAAAACACAAGGCAGATCTGTGAGTTCCAGGCCAGCCAGGGCTACATCATGAGGCTCTGTCCAAACAAAACAAAAGCACAGGAAGAGTTTGATGTTGCTGAGAGGTCTCTGAAGGAACTCCTCCAGTTTCTGTGGGCATCAGTGTCGGGTAGTGTCCCCACAGATACTGGCACCTGCTGTCACAGAGCACCCCTCTCTGCAGCCATGTAGTTCCCTTGGGAGGGTAGCCTTCTGAGGTACATGCCCGAACCATCTCTTGTGCCCCTTACATCAAACAGGTGGAGGTGTTTGATCCCTGAGTCTTTGTCAGCAGTGAAGAAGTTTCAGGAAATGGGTCTTCAGCCTGCAGCAGTCTTTAAGATCAGATATAAGAATAGTAGTAGCAGTCAGCCACCCTTAAGGCTCAACCAGACAGAGCCTAACCTCCCCTAGATGTGAGCCTGAAATTTTCTGCTAATCTCACAAGACAATTCACTTTTGCTTAACGCAAGGCCATGTTCACTTCCTACCCTGTTGCTGCCCTGGGACTTAGGTCATCACTTCCTACCCTGCTGCTGCCCTGGGACTTAGGTCATCACTTCCTACCCTGCTGCTGCCCTGGGACTTAGGTCATCACTTCCTACCCTGCTGCAGGCCCTGGGACTTAGGTCTAAGACCCCTGTCATCTGTCTGGTGCATGAGAGCTGTTGCGTGCTTGAATTTAGGACCCTTGGCTACCTAATAGAGATAGAACTTGAGAAGGTATCAAAAGGGGCATGTGACTGTTAGAGACACTGAGGCAACTGAGAGGACAGCACCCACATTGGTTGGGTGTACGCTCTTCTTAACCTGAGTGCCCCTCCATTGACCAACCCTCCTTAAATCTATCTATGCTAAAAATCTCCATAAATTTCAACTCTGCCTAATTAAAAAGTTATAGTACAGAATGAGGGCAGCTTGGTGGAGCTCTCGCCTACATGTAATAAGCCTCGTGTTTGATCCCCAGCACCACAGAAGAAGAAAAGGAAAGGGCAGTTGTCTGTTACTGCTCTAAACGTTTTTTTAATCTATGTGCAAACTTTTTTTTTTTAATATGCAGCTTTTGAACCTTATTGATTGAAGAATTTCATCTGGGGACAGCACTTTCACAGGTCCGCCCTTGGTCAGTGGGGCCAGGATTTGGTAGCTGGTGCTGACAGAAAACCCTTGATTGCATCCTTGCCCTGTCTGTACCAGTGGCAGCTGTCTCTCAGGGGAACAGATGATTTTCTGATCTTTAAAGCTTTGTGTCTTTTTCTGCTGCTTGAACTTAAGTCTTTTCATCCCTTAAAATTTTTTTTTTCATAGTTTTTTGTTTGTTTTTTTGAGACAGGGTCTCCCTAGAGCCTTAGCTGACCTGGAACTTGCTATGTATGTAGTCCTGGCTGCCTTGATCTGAAGGATTTTTAACCTGCTTTTCACGTCTACTTGGGGAGAACAAGTGTTCAGGTGTCTGTTCCTCCTCCTTCCTTTTTTGTTGTGTTTTATGTCAAACTTTTATTCTGTCCTTAGACATGAGGTAGATTTGGAGTGTAAAAGACTGCATCATGGGGCTGGGGAGACGGCTCAGTGGTTACGAGCACTTGGCTGCGCTTCCAGAGGACACGAGTTTGGTTCCCAGCACCCACATGGCTCATAACTGGCCATAACTGTAGTTCTAGGGGATCCAGTGCCGCCTTCTGACCTCCATGGGCGTTGCATGACTGGAGTGCACTTACATGCAAGCAGCACACTCATACATATAAAATTAAAGAAATAGAATATTTAAAAAAGCAGCAGCAGCTGGAAGGGACGGCTCAGCAGTTGTGCTGTGCTACTTTGCTTTCTGTGGTGGTAAAACACTGAACAAAAGCAGTTTAGGGGACGGTTCCCAGTCCATCATGTAGGGAGGCCAAGGCAAGAACTTGGATGCTTACTGACTCGCTCCCCTGGCCTCATCAATCACCCCTCCTGAACAGCCCAAGCCCACCTGCCCGGAGGTGATGCCACCCACACTGGCTGGGCCCTCCTACATCAACCAGCAATCAAGAAGATGCCCCATAGATGTGCCCACAGGCCTAGCTGATGGAGACAGGTCCTCAGTTGGAGTTCCTTCTTCCCGAGTGTCTCCAGTTTGTGACACGTTGACGGGAACCAATCCGCACAGGGCTTAGGAGCACTGGCTGCTCTTGCAGAGGACCCAGGATGGTTCTCAGTGGCTTACTCACTTTAGAGAGTTTATTGGGAAGACATGAGGATGTCTGAACAGTGCTGCCGTTTGGTTGGCTTTTCCTTCCGTGTTTCTCTGACACAGTGTTTGAGGTGTAGTTGGGCTTAAGCTGTAGGGCCGTTAAAGCCCAAGGTTCTCGTGGCCTCAGCACAAGTTCTACCAGAACTGTTCCTAAAGCTGCCGTGTGTGCTTATTGGAACCACTCGTGTACCCTCAGGTAGAAAGAGGTCGACGCTCTAGTCCAGTTGGACAGCGGTTCTCACCGAGCTGCCTCCTTCCTTCCTCAGCAAAAGCAGGAACTGTGGTCTTAAGTCACTGACTCTTCTGAACAGAAAATCTGAGGACTCCCCCACCCCCAACATGACCATCCTACTTTGACACTTGGAACTGGAAAGTAGATGCACCTTGTTGGCTGGGACAAGTTCCATGTGGCATATGAAGATGCACAGGCACATGGCATTGAGTTGATGGTGCACAGACATGTGTCCCTCCCTGCCTTGAGTTGGACAGTGGATAGGTGCCAGCCTTGGAAAATAAACACCTGTTCCAGGGCTCCTAGATGATGACAAGTAAATTGTCTTCCTCTCACACAGATTTTATGGAAAGAACTCTTCCTATGTCCATGGGGGCCTGGATTCAAATGGAAAGCCAGCAGATGCGGTCTATGGACAGAAGGTGAGGACTGTAAATCATAGCGGCAGAGGACTCTGCAGGGTTGAGGAGGACACGTGACTGCCAGATTGGCTTGTAACTAAAGGCATCTAAAGGAAGTTAATTACTGTTTAATTCAGTGTTTGTTGAAATGCTTATGAGATATCACGTTGTTGATGTTGTATGACCTGTTGTGGAATTTTTTCTTACATAGCTGGTTTCAGCACAGGGATCATCATTTCCAAACTTTAAAAAAAAAAAGTGCTCAGGACAGTTATTCCATTTTTATTTTTTAATTTTTTTGAGACAGGATTTTGCTGTGTGTCTCTGGAACTTGGTTATGTGGCGCCACTGTGGCTATCCTGCCTCAGTCTCCCGAGTCCTGAGGTTGTACATACCTGTGGTTTTGTTACTGTTTTTCTTCTTCCTTTTTTTTTGGAGATGGGATCTCCCTGTAGCCCCAGCTGGCCTGAAAATAGCTATGTAGACCAGACTGGCCTTGGTCTCACAGAGATCTACCTGCCTCTGCCTCCTGAGTGCTGGGATTAAAGGCATGGGCTACCAGGCCTGGCCTTGAACAGTTTTTTTTTTTTTAAGAGGCTGAACTGTGGTCCCTGGGAATAGAGCACACATAGACAGTCTGAGGCTGACTGTTGTAACTTAAATGTGTGTGTTTACTTCATCTGTGTTGTGTTGGAGCATTTTAATCTTTTACATTTATTTTGTATGGTCAAGTGGGTAGTTGTGACTACCACGGCACTCTTGTGGAGGTCAGGGGACAACTTGCTGGAGGTCTCTCCTTCTACCAAGTGGGTCCTGCAGATCAAAGTCTGGTGTCAGGTTTAGCATTAGACACCTTTTACCTACTATGATATCACACCCCAGCCTGGACATTTTTTTGTTATTGGATATGGTATAGATTTTAAGACATTTTTTTTTGACAGTAGCTGCTGCATTATAAATGTTTTTGTATTGTTTTTCTTGTTACTGGGACACAATGCCTCACAGGCAGCTGAGGAGGGAGGGGTTTATTTTGGCTCATAGCATACAGTCCATCGTGGTGTGAGAGCAGGGCAGCAGGGGAGCGGGAGGCAGCTGGTCACCGTCTGCGGTCAGGAAGCAGAGAGATGGGTCTTGGTGCCTGCCCAGCTGGCTTTTTCTTCTGTTATGTTCAGGACTCCAGCCTGTGGTGTGGCCTCTTCCATTAGGAAGGGTCTGTGTACTACAGTTGATGTAGAATTCCCTCAGACACCCTAGAAGTCTGTTTCCTAGGATTCTAGGCTAACCATCATGAAAATACTTTTAGTCTGTTTTTATTGCTCTTTATAGATTGTGTTGAGAAACACAGCTGAAGGGTTTCTTGCAGGAGCCGGAGGTAGGGATGCGGGTCAAGCTACCTGGTATTTGCAACGTGAGAAAGTACAGGCATGGTTGGGGAGGAGCTGAAAGATCAGCCAGTCTGTTCTGGTGCTGGAAGCAGCCATCTTGCCAGTCAGACTGTGGCAAGGACCTGAGGGATTAACCCCTGCCTGATTCCTCAGGAAATTCATCGGAAAGTGATGTCACAAAACTTCACCAACTGCCACACTAAGATCCGCCACGTGGACGCTCATGCCACGCTCAATGACGGCGTGGTGGTGCAAGTGATGGGACTGCTGTCCAACAACAATCAGGCCTTGCGGAGGTTCATGCAGACCTTCGTCCTCGCTCCTGAGGTATGTGGCACAGTGGCTGCTGGACCGTGGAGTACTTGAAAAGTTGTGCGTGGTCTCCTAAAGACTTGGAAGCTTCACATTTTTGAAAAAAAAAAAAAATTAAATTTTTTGTGTATGAGTGTTATGCCTACATGTAAGTAAGTGCACCCATGTTGTGCAATGCCCTTGGAGACCAAAAGAGGGCATTGGATTCCCTGGAACTGGAGTTGAGGACGGTGGTTAGCTGCCATGTGGGTGCTGGCATTTGAACCTGGGTCTTCTGCAAGAGCAGCCAGTGCTCTACCTGCAGAGCCACCTCTCCAACCCCCGGAAGCTTCAGATGGGATGGTGTCCCTCGTTCTTCAGAGATGCCCAGGCCGCACTGGCCGTGTGTACCCCATTCTGCTTGTGCACCATCTTTTTCCTTCTTTTTTTTTGGTCTTTTTGAGACAGGGTCTCCCTGTAGCCCCAGCTGTCCTGGAACTCACTGTGTAGACCAGGCTGGCCTTGAACTCACAGAGATCCGCCTACCTCTGCCTCCCGAGTGCAGAGACTACAGCATGCGCCACCATGCCTGGCTTCCTTCTCATTTTATTTTATTACTGATTGTGTTTTTGAGACAGGATCTGCTGTATAGCCCCAGCTGGCCTGGAACTCTTGCTGGCCTCAAACTCAGAAAGATCACCTGCCTCTGCCTCATGAGTGCTGGGGTCAAAGGTGTGTGCCACCATGCCTAGAGCCTAGCTAGCCTGTAAACTTTGGAAAGAGTGACAGACATTGTGTTCATTCAGGCTGGGATTCCTGAACCCTCCCTGGTCCCTTGTCCTAAGGATAAGGAATTAATTCTCTCCTGTTACAAGAATCAGGAAATGCTGATGCTCTGTGACTGTTACTCAGAGGCCGGTATTTAAGTTGCAGAAAACATACCAGCACTGTCCTTCATAGTGATTTGTTTTTCTAGGTCCAAGATCCCTATGTAATTTTGTACTGTGTCTAGTGTTCGTGTCTCTAGTCTCCCATAGTTTGCTGTGCCTCCGTCTTTCCTCTTTAGGGCATTGACTTGAGGCGCACGGTCTCCTTTTTTGTTCACACTTGATGTATTTTTCTTCCCGTTCTGCTTTAAGGCAGCAGGGATGCTGAGTGACTGATTTCCATAGTTACTCCTCACTGAAACCTGTCTGCATAGCAGTGGAAAAGTGGCCCATTAAGGATTTGCCCAATACGTTTTCATCTGCATTGGTCTTAGAAATAACTTTCCATTTAGGACAGTAAAGATAATAACCCTATCTTTTCACCATTTTGGGGATTTTTGTTTTGAGGCAGCCTCATTATGTAGCCCAGCCTGGCCTTCTGTGAGCGTCCTGTCTCCGCCTCCCAGGTGCAGGGAATACAGAGACGCAGCACCAATGAGGATGTAGTCAAGATTTTTTGTTTTTAGTTTAAATTTTTATTTTATGTGTATGAGTGTTGTGTGCCTGTAAGTGCACCGTGTTGTGCAATGCCAGAAGAGGGCGTCAGATTGCTGAGAACTGGGGTTAAAGTGGGTTGTTAGCAACCTGCGTCCTGAAGTCCCAGCTGGCTTGAAGCTGACCTCTGCCTCCCAAGTGCCGGGGTTAAAGGTGTGCATCCCCACACACCGAGCTTATCCTTTGAGGGTATAGTCCATCAATGTGGGGAAGGCATGGTAACAGAACTGGTCAGACATGAGGGACCAGGGAGAGATGAATATTCATGACTCATCCTTTTTTTTTAAGTTTGGATAACAAGACTTGCTGACATTGCAGGGCTCAGTGGCCAACAAGTTCTACGTTCACAATGACATCTTCAGATACCAAGATGAGGTCTTTGGTGGCTTTGTTACGGAGCCCCAGGAGGGTGAGTATGAAACCGCAGGTGGGGCTCTGTGTGTTTGTACATGGCATTGGCAGACTTAAGAGAATAGGGGGTCCTTGAGTGCTTTTGTTATACTGTCTGTCCTCCATTAATAGTGTTTATCAAAGTGTGAAGCATCTGCAAAGATTGCCCTAGTTAGTGTTATCAGGTCACTTCATGAATGCTGGGAGAAAGACTCCTGGTTAGAAGTGAGCAAACTAGACAGGTTAGGGGCAGCACATTTCCACACTCCTTACGGCACTGCTTAGAAGGCCTAGGCCTGGCCTGCTAGCACTGAAAGGTGTGCAGCCCTAGCCGTGGAGTGGCCGTAAAGGTGCCTGCTCTCTGCTTGGGAGAAATGCTGCTTGCTAGTGAAAGGTGTAGATGAGAGGTGAAAGGTGGGTGTTGTGTGCAGGCACTGACCTGCGGTGGATTCCCCAGGACCAGTGTTTGAACATTCTCTGCACCGGTCCTGAGTGGTTTCTGTGCCTGTGTAGAGCACAGCTTTAAATACAGGTGCAGGTACATCAGGTGCAGTTTTTCCCATGCTGAGTGAGTAATGGCTCATAGAGGGAGGGCCTGGCTAGGACGCCCGAGATGATGCTCTTTTGTCAGTTCCTAATGATCGTCTGCTCTGTTGACCTTGCTCCACGGTGCTTCTTCCAAAGTCTGGCCCTTCAGTGAAGGGGTTTCCTGTCTGTCTTTGTCTTACTGTTTGGCCATCCCTGGGAACGTTGGGTATAAACTTACTCAGATCCATCCTCTGTCTCTGGGGCCTGGGCCCAGGGGAGAGTATCTGGCCACCCTGATCAGATTGTGTGACCACAGCTGTGCCAGGGAGGCTGCATGGACTTGGTTCTGAAGTCTTGATTCCTAGTTTGCTTGGCTGCACAAGGCCTTCCAGCCTGGCCTTTGTGACTAGCACAGACACTCCTCCAGACCTTTCTTCACTTTTGTTACATGGTTGATTTTCTCAGCTAAGACATCAGATGTGAGGGTGCTGAGCCCACTGCTGAAGATGGGTCTCCTCCATTCAAGGCAGATTAAGAAGCCCACAGCAGGTGTGCTAGTTACCATGATAAAATGCCCTGGCCAAAAGCAGCTTGGAGCAGAAAGGGTTTAATTTGGCTTACAATTCCAGGATAGAGTCCATGGGGCAAAGGCAGGGCAACTGGAGCAGGAAACGGCTGGTCCAGCACATTGTATCCCCATGTAGGAAGCCGAAGCCTTTTGTAAATATATTTTTTTTTAATTTAAGAATCTTTGTTCTTTTTTTTTTTTAATTTAAAAATTTTTTTTTTTTTTTTTTTTTTTTTTTTTTGTCTTTGAGACAGGGTTCCCAGCTATCTTGGAACTCACTGTGTAGACCAGGCTGGCTTGAACTCACAAAAATCCGCCTGCCTCTGCCTCCCAAGTGCTGGGATTAAAGGCGTGCGACACCCTGCCTGGCTTAAGAATCTTTGTTCTTAAAACACTTAATTTTACACTTAATGTCTGTGCCCTGACTTTACCAAATTGCCAAGTTTTCGTAACTATGTGTGTGTCTTGTGACTTGTTGTGACCACAGTGGGTATTACAGAAGCTTGTGAAACTTGTGAATTCAGTAATCAGAAGTATTTCAAAAATGTTTTTGTTGCTTAGAATCTGAGGAGGAAGTAGAAGAACCGGAGGAAAGGCAGCAGACACCGGAGGTGGTACCTGATGATTCTGGAACTTTCTATGATCAGACTGTCAAGTAAGGAAACCTCTTCACCTGTCCAGGGTTGTAGTAAGAACTGAAATTGTGTTGCAGACAGCTGTCTTCTGAGCCTCAGACTCAGGAATCTGGAAAGGTCTGGAGCTCTGCCCAGTGGGTGGCATGCACCTCTAGTGTGCATGTCCTGGGCTTGTCTGTGAGCTAGTGTGGCATAGGCAAGAGGTGGGTTTGGGGTCCCAAGAAAATGACCACATAATCCAAAGTATTCTGCAGGCCAAAAAGTTTGACTTCTGCAGATGGGTGTCAAGTGACTGAATCCAATAAGCACGGCTGGCGAAGATGACCTCTCCCTTTGGTACTAGTGAGAAAGAAAACGTGGCTGTCCCCCTAGTCTGGGTGTAGCAGTATAGTGTAACCCGATTGGCCAGTTTAAAGGGAAGAGGGCATTTTAGTAAGAGACTTTTTAAAAAAAATATTTTATTTATTATTTTAATTTTATGTGTATGAGTGTATTGTCTGCATGTATCTGAGTACACTGGCGTCATGCAGTGCCTCAGAGGTCAGAGAGGGTTTCAGAGTCCCCTGGAACTGGAGTTAAGGACGTTTCGTAGCCACCATGTGGGTGCTGGGAATCGAACCAGGGTCTTCTGCAAGAGCAGTCAGTGCTCTTAACTGCTGAGCCATCTCTCTAGCCCCTCTAGTAAGAATCTTTAAAACTTGCGGACTTGGGATTTCAACATGGAGCCAGAGTCATACAAGTAAAGTGGGGGGAGGTGGTTGTGGATGAGAAAACAAGAACTATAGTGCTACAGTTACGTTTGGTGTGTTAAGAAACAAACATCATGGGGCTGGAGAGATGGCTCAGCAGTTAAGAACACTGGCTGCTCTTGCAGAAGACCCAGGTTTGAATCCCAGCACCCACATGGCAGAACCATCTGTAACTCCAGTCCTGGGGATCTGGCACCCTCTTCTGTCCTCTGAGGGCATTGCACAACACAGGTGCACTTAACCTACATGCATGCATAATACTCATACACATAAAGTAATAAATAAATGTTAAAAAAGAAACATCATTAAGATTTATAATTACAAATTATAATTATTAGCTCCTTAACAGAGACAGTGAAAAAGACAAGCACATCGTTTTAAAATGTTTTTAACAGTCAGGATCTCATCTCTTACATTTATTTTTATGTATTGGAAAAAAGAAAAAACTAGTCTGCATGATAGGAGGTTAGAGTCCGAGTAACTTGAATACATACATTAACCTCACACAAATGAAAGTAAAAGAGTCTCAGGCTGGGAAGAGCAAACTGGAGATAAAGGAAATGCAGATTAAGGTTAATTCTTAGCCTCTTAATTTGCAATGTAAAGGTTAAAACTCCCTTTGAAAAGAAAGACAATACATTCCATTTAAATTTCTTTTTTTTCTTTTTTTTTTTTTAATTTTTAAATATGCCAGGCGTGGTGGCACACGCCTTTAATCCCAGCGCTTGGGAGGCAGAGGCAGGTGGATCTCTGTGAGTTCAAGGCCAGCCTGGTCTTATAGTGAGTTCCAGGCTGCTAAGGGGAGATCCTGTCTCAAAAAGAGAAAAAAGTATCTGAGCAAACTAAGCCAGAAAGCAGCGCTCCCCAGCTCCCGTTTGCAGGCTCCTACCTGGCTTCCCTCAAAGGTGGGCTGCCACTTGGAAGAAGTAATAAACCCTTTCCTCGAGTTGTTGAGAGTATTTTATTACAGCAACAGAACATAGATCAGGACGCTGGGAAATCAGCATGCACCACTTTATGTAGGTAGCTAAAGTGGTAATTTAACCAGAGAAACCCAAAAGCTAAGTAATAAATAATTTCTTAGCCCAATTCAGATTATAGCAAACACCTATAATCTGAATACTGAGGAGGCTGAGTGGGGCAGAAGGACTGACCACAGCTCAGTGCCCAGGCCCCATGTGGTAGGAGAGAACTGACTCCCGAAGTGGTCCTCCAGGGGCACCCCACAGCATGGCCCTCCCTCCCCTGTCCTGAAGAAATGAGTGTTTAAAAGACAGCCTGGGGCTGGAGGAATGGCTCGGTGATTAGGGCCCTTGTTGCAGAGTACCTGGTTTCTGTTGCCAGCACCCACATATCTACTCAAAACCAGCCACCTGTAACTTCCCACTCTGGGCCTCAGGCACCTGCTTGCATATAGTGCTAATACATAAGCTCAGACACATACACCAAAGAATCTTTTTTTAAAAAAAGGGCAGCCTGTGCCGTGTAACAAACTTGCTAAAAAATCTTTTCATTACCTCAAACGGTGAGTGTGGTGTTGGCCTTTATTCCCCTGCTTCTGGGGGCAGAAATAGGTGGTGGAATAGAGATGCTTGCTGTTGCCATGTGACACCTCGAGTGTCCACAGTGCCCAGAAGTCCCTCAAGTGACTGTCAAGGAGTGGTTGGTCATGCCCTGATCATATTGCTAGGCACACTGTGTCTGGTGAAAATGAAGATTATATCTCACCACAGGCATACTGTGGGGTGCCAGAGCAGAACCAGACTTGGGCCGCATGCTCAGTGACTTGTGTGGAGGTAGGACCGTGGTTCTGAGGCCCAACTGACGTCTTCTGTCTTAGAATTCCTTGTGTGTTTTTATGTGGCTGAAGCCACAAGCTACAAAATTGACTGTCTTAGGTTCTTGGAGACTGGCTGGCCTGGTGCTGTGGGTAGGTCAGGCTGCCTTTCTCAGTCTTGATGATGTGACGGACGTCTGTTAGGAGGAACACCTTTCTCTTTGCCCAGCCCAGTGGGTGTGAGGGGTTTATGATATAAAGTAAATTGTAACAGTAGTGAATTCTGGCTTAACTAGAGTCAGGTTGACTCTGCTTTGATTCATTGTTTTCATCAGAAATTAGCAAACAGCTTTCTCATTTTAAGATGTGTGTGGAGTGCCCCCCCAAATTCTTTTAAGCGCGTGCCCTTGTTAGTGTTTGAGACAGGATCTCTCTGTAGCCTCAGCTGGTCTGGAACTCACCAGGGTGGCCTCTGTCTCAGATATATGCCTGCTAGGATTAAAGATGTGGGCCAGGACACCCAGCTCTGAGATCTGTTTGGATGAAGGGAGGTTTTGTTGCCTTTTTTGGTGCTAAGGCTCCAGCTCAGGGTCTTGCTTAGTGTGTGCTTAGTTAACCATTGAACTGTAGAACAGCCCCAGAGCTGTTTTTCTGCAGCTGTTAGATGCTTGGGGCTGTCTTGATTAATCACTGGGGACAGAATGATACTTCCCAAGTTGTCTCCCATGAAGCAATGACTTGGAGGAGCACCTGGAGGAGCCTGTTGCTGACCCCGAGCCCGATCCTGAGCCAGAACCAGAGCAAGAGCCCGTGTCTGAGATTCAGGAGGAAAGGCCCGAGCCGCCGTTGGAGGAAGCCACCCCGGAGGACGCACAGAAGAGCTCCTCCCCAGCACCAGCCGACACTGCCCAGGCAGCGCAGGAGGACCTACGGGTACGGAGCGGCCAGTGCGACTTCCTTTGAACTGCTTGTAGTTTATTTATTGTTGTGTGGAGGGTCAGTATCAGGGCCTTGGATTTGTGTGTACGCTAGGCATGTGTTCTACCGCAGACCCCCACTTCCATTCCAGTAGGTTTGTGTTTGACCTCAGACGCCATACGATCCCCCGCCTTCACCTCCTGAGTGCTAGGGTTGTAGTTTGGGGCCACCATGCCCAGTATATGCAGTGCTGGGAGAGGAAGCCAGGACGTCGTGTGTGCTGGGCAAGCGCTCTGTTTATGCAGCTCTTCAGCAGTTTCTGTTTGAAAACCTATTTTCTTCTTTGTAATTGGTTAACCTTTTCTTTTTCTATTTTGTCCCTATTCTATTCTGGCCTGGAACTCGCTCTGTAGACAAGGCTGGCCTTGAACTCACAGAGATCCGCCTGCCTCTGAGTGCTGGGATTAAAGGCGTGCGCTACCACGCCTCTACGAATCTCATTGTATAGCCCAGGCTGGCCTCACTGTAGTCCAGGCTGGCTTTGAACTCATGATCCTTCTGTCTTAGTGCCTCAGGTATTGGGATTATAGGTATTGGCTACTGCTTATTTCCAAGAAATTTTAGTACTAAGTCTGTGAGTAGGTGAACGACATCTGCGGGTGCACGCAGACTCTTCTGCCTGTGAGTGAAGTGGACTCGTACGGGAAAGCAAGAGCTGATGGCTTGTGTCACTTTGCTGTGTCCTTGTTCTCTTAGACATTTTCTTGGGCGTCTGTGACTAGTAAGAACCTTCCTCCCAGCGGAGCCGTCCCTGTGACGGGGATCCCACCCCATGTCGTTAAAGTGCCACCACAGGTAAGGTCCTCGGGTTAAGGGCTTCCAGCAGATGTGGTAGTGAGATTCAGCAGAGGCTTGGAGAATAGGAGCCCAGTGTGTAGGGAAGAGGGGAGGGTACTGCAAAGGGGTAGTGAGTTGAACGTGTCACCTGCCAGAAAGTGGTTGGTTGTTTTGCTTTATTTTGTTTGGTGTGGGGGGAATTACTTTCTTTTTTAAGTTTTTTTCAATTATGTATAAGTGTGAGTCTGTGCATAGGTGGAGTGCCAGGTGGTTGTGAGCCATACGATGTGGGTGCTGGGAATCAAGCTAGAGTCCTGCAAGAGCAGCCATCTCTCCAGGCCAATACTTTGTTTTCATGTGGGTGGATGCATGCTTCCTGTGTATATATGTGGAGGCCAGAGGTCAACTGTGGGTGTCATTCCTCAGGAGCTGGGCTCCTTGTTTTTTTGAGTCCTGAAGTTCTCAGATTAGGCTAGGTTGGCTGGCCAGTGAGTCCCAGGGATCTGCCTGTTTCTCTGCCATACCAAACTGGGATTGTTAATTTCTAGTTTAAACCTTTTCTGTTAAGATCACAAGTGACTGAGAGATGGCTTAGTAGTTAAGAGCACTTACTGCACTTACAGAAGGCTTGGGTTTGAGTCCCAGCACCCACACGGTGGCCCGTCTTTGGCCTCTTTGGGCTCCTGCACATATGTGGTACATAGAAGCTCATGCAGACACACATACATGCACATAAATTTAAAAAGAAAAAAAAAATTGACAGAAAGTACCTGTCACCAAGGCTGACAACCTGAGTTTGATCCCTGGGACACACATGTATGTGTGTGGTATGCATGTACCCACATATAACACACATGCACACACATAATGTAATTTAAAAGATTTTTAATGAAATAAATTTAACAAAATAAGCTCAGCGACTTCGGTTTTGCATAGAGAGTAATCTGTAACCTTTTTTAGCCCCGTCCAGAAGCGAAGCCCGAATCTCAGATCCCACCACAGAGGCCTCAGCGAGATCAAAGAGTTCGAGAGCAGCGAATAAATATCCCTCCCCAGAGGGGACCCAGGCCAAGTAAGTGCTCACAGGGGTGGTTTTTGTGGCCTGGGTGGTTTTGAGGTGAGAGATTGTCAGACTGCCTGGTACTAGTCAACTTGGGGCAGGACGAGTTAGTGTCTGCTGTGGCTTCACTAGTGCAGAGGGAAACTTGCCCCTATGTACAGCCTCTGAGTTTCTTGTTTCTGTCTCTGAAGTCCGAGAGGCTGGTGAGCAGGGCGACGTGGAGCCTCGCAGGATCGTGAGGCACCCCGACAGCCACCAGCTGTTCATTGGGAACCTTCCGCACGAGGTGGACAAGTCAGAGCTGAAGGATTTCTTCCAAAGTAGGTGCTGAGTCTCAGCTCTGCCGAGAGCCTCTGGTGGCTCTGTGAGCGAGTAGTGAGGGGTGGACTGCTCAGTGACATTGCTTAGCCCTGCTAGGTAAATGTCGTTTCCACTATATTGTGATTTTTCTAGCCCCTAAACCTTGAACACGGCCACAAAGTAACACTTCCTGAGTGTGAGCACCGCACCCAGTGAATTCCACCCAACCTTAGTGTCAGGAACTTTAGGCGTGCTATGGTGCTGCAGAGTTCCTTTGGGTGTGTACAGGGACCGAGTGTGGCCTACGTGAATTGTAGGTTTAGACTTGGGTCCAAAATTAAAAAACAGTAACAAAACCCCATAAGCTGGTGCACTTACAGTCTCAGAAGAGTTTTGTCTAAATAGTTTGGTCTTTTTGAATCAGCTGATCTGGAACTCTGTACGTAGACCAGGCTGGCCCTGAACTCACAGAGATCTGCCTGCCTCTGCCTCCTGAGTGCTGGGCTTCAAGGCTTGCACCACCATGCCTGGCTGTATTTTGCATTTTTTAATATAAAGTTTTTGAAATCAAGTGTGTACTTTAAATTCCCAGCGCATCTTAGTTTGACAAGCGAGATTTGATTGCCCAGCGGAATCTGTCTAGATATTACTACTGTGTGCTCACATTCAGTGCTCCCAAGTGCTAAGGGGTCATCTGAGGATCTTCTTCATGTGTAGATTATGGGAACGTGGTGGAGCTGCGCATTAACAGTGGCGGGAAGTTACCCAACTTTGGTTTTGTCGTGTTTGATGATTCGGAGCCTGTTCAGAGGGTCCTCAGCAACAAGGTAAGAAGTTTCCACCTTGGTTTTCTTTCACTGTGAGGGTGCTTGTCTTGGTTTATAGGAGTCTGTTTATTCTTTACATGTGAGCTTGCTGGCTTCAGTGCTCATCGCCTTATTAAAAGTCAGACCTGCCGGGAGCTGTGACTGATCCTTTCAGTCAGGTTTGGTTTTTTTTTTGATCTTTTTGAGACAAGGTCTCCCTGTACTCCAGCTGTCCTGGATTCGCTGTGGAGACCAGGCTGGCCTCGAACTCACAGAGATCCACCTGCCTCTGTCTCCTGAGTGCTGGGATGAAGGGCGTGCGCCACCATGCCTGGCTTTCAGTCAGTTTTTTGTGTGTTGAGAAATCACTTCTGTGAGACTGATGGCCACTGTTTATGGCCTTGAACTGGTATGCACTGGTGTGTACTGGTTTTGTGTTTGGACTCCCTCCCCAGCCAGGAGGTCTTCCCTCTTTCATGTTGTGACAGGCACAAGAGCTGTAGTCCTTCTTTAATTCTATCTTCAAGTAACTTTAATGGTGTATTTACATGAAGTGTATGTACTTGCATAAATACATACAATACTATATTCTTATGTGAAGAGGTTTTATCCTGAGTCCCTCAGGCCACCAAGAAGACAGCAATCTTTATAGCATTGTGTCTGTGGGAAGTTTGGTTTAGTAATACAGTAGATATGCTGTGGTGCTGGGTTTGGGGTTTTTTTATTTTTTATTTTTTATTTTATGTGTATGAGTAGTGTATAGCCTGCGTGTATGTGAGTGTGCCTGTGTGGTGTAATGCCCTGGAGGTCAGAAGAGGGTCATGTGAACTGTATCCAGGGCCTCTGCAAGAGCAGTCAGTGCTCTTAACCACAGAGTCATCTCCAGCCATTTTTTTGTTTACAGTTTTTGTTTTTGTTTTTTTTGAAACAGAGTCTTTCTTTATAGACTAGGCTGGTCCTGATCTCGAAGTTTGCCTCTGCCTCCCAAGTGCTGGGTTTAAAGGTGTGCATGTACCCGGCTGACATTCCCAGCATGTGCGTGTGCGTGTGCGTGTGTGTGTGTGTGTGTGTGTGTCCACATGTGTGCAGTACCTGTAGAAGCCAGAAGAGGGCATCAGACCCCTTGGCTCTGGACAACTCAAACACAGTAAGCAAACCCTGTAAGGTGACGTAGTTAGTCTCAAGGCTGTGAGCAGCAGTGCTCTTAACCGCTCACCCTCTCAGCCCTGCTTTGTGTGTTTGATAGTCACAGTCTCCCAGTGCTTTAAGTCTGGTCTCGATTCTTACAGCCCATCATGTTCAGAGGCGCCGTCCGCCTGAATGTGGAGGAGAAGAAGACTCGAGCCGCCAGGGAAGGGGACCGTCGGGATAACCGCATTCGGGGACCTGGAGGCCCCCGAGGTGGGCTGAGTGGTGGAATGAGAGGCCCTCCCCGCGGAGGCATGGTGCAGAAACCAGGGTTCGGTGTAGGCAGGGGGATTGCTCCGAGGCAGTGAATTGCTCAGCACGGATCTTCACGCAGCACACAGCCCCAGCTCCTGCAGCATGGTGAATTTCTTCAGCCGGCCTTTGGTGTCTTGGAGTAGTCTGTTATAAACTGCTTGAGTCTGTACAGTTTTCTTTCTCTGTGTTCGAGGTGTGTGTTCCACCCCGTCCCGTCCTCTCCCGACCTTTAGTCCTTCACTTCAGTTTTCTGGACTGATACTTTAGGAATAATAGATTTTTAAAGAAGAAGAAGAAGAAGAAAGACTAAACTTCCTGCTCTCTTTGCATATACAGACTTCCCCAAAGGAGCGATTCTGGCTTACCACTGACGTTGGGATATTTCGTTCATTGGAATATTTCTTATTTTCTACACGCTCGAAGCCTGTGAGACACAGGATTTGATAAACATTTTGGAAGCAGGAAAAGTCCAAATTGTTTAAGTTACAACCACCTTCTGATGTGGAAAAATTGCCATTTGGAAGCCCTTGCTGGTGTGGGTAACCGAATAAAAGGTGTTAATGGAACTCTCTTTTCTGATATGTGATTACCAAACAATTCTAAAACCTCCTGTTTTTAATTGGATTTTAAATTGTGATGTAGGTCTTCGATGTCTAGAACGCAGCTGAGGACTTTCTTGAACTGTTAGTTTTTTTTTTTTTTTGA